AGTCATTTGAACACTTATTGATGAAAACATTTAAAATACGATATATTTTATTTCAAAGTTTTAGACCACAAGGAAACATGTGTATTTGAAAACATAGAAAGTACTTTAAAAATTTTCTTTTTACTTTTGTTGGTTAGCTGAAAATTTTCAAACCCCCCTGACAATAATGAAGTAAAAATACACATCCAAAGGATTGAAAAAAAAAAAAAATCAAGTAATGAAAACATTGACATTTTTCGGAAGCTACCGAAGTTGTATTTAAAGAGAAAGTTATTTAAAGGCCTTCATTGCAAAAGCATGTTATGACATAAGTGATTTAATATTCTCCTTAATACCCTGTGGACGGGGAAGACCATTAAGAAAATGGAAAAAATAAGGAAAGAAATGATAGTGATAAAACTATGGTTTGTTTGGGGTTTTTTTTTTTAAATACTGTTGTTTTTTTTTTAAGTTTTTGTTGTGGAGTGAGTGAAAGTTTACAGGCATAGCATCAGTTTTACATTCAACAAATCATATACCTTATTTCATTACAGTGATTACAATCCCCAATATTTCTCTCTATTCACTTTAGCTCCTTTTTTTTTTTCAACACTCAGGCATATATATAATAATTTACACCACCAAAGGGCACATTCTGCAAGTCTGCCTTCTGGCCACTTGCATTCAACAAATCACACATCTTGTTTCATTACAATAATTACAATCCCCTACATGTACCATCAGATAACAGTATTTTTCTCTCTTCACTTTAGCGCTTTTTAAAAAACACTTAGGCATATGTAATAGTTTAAACCACCAAAGGGCACCTTCTGCAAGTCTGCTTCCTGGCCGTTATCTTAGTCCTTCTCTTTCCAGGAATCTAGAGTCCTCAGCTACTCCCTCTCTCCATCCATGTCCTCATCTCTGCACCCATCTCTGGTTTTGCTGCTTCTCTGGATAAGGTCCTGTATTCTGCTTGTGCTCTTCTCCCTTCATAGTCCTAGAATCCTTTGTTTCTGGACTGTAAGATTAACTACTCCCCCATTTTGTTACAAATCTTCTACCTTTACAGTTGTGGCAGTCGCAATTAGTCATGATAACTATTACTCACTATTGAATCATAAGAAGCTTATCCCCATCTCTTTTCACCATACCCATCTAGACAAGATGAAAACTATTCAGTGGGGACTTTGTCTTCCTCCACACACTATTAAACTAAGCTCCTCCTTGAAACCTTGTAAGCCAGTCACTTTGTGCCTTTATCGCCCCCTCATTTTAGGTAGCCAATGTCTAAGTTGCCCATCTCTATCTACCCTGTGTACAGAGGAGATAGCATTGATATTTGATGTGAAGATGCCTTTCCTCTCTGTTGGAATTTAGAGTTACTTCCTCCATGAGTATAGGTCAAGTTCATAAAATTATAGCAATTTTTTCCTTTATCAAAAATTGTTTTGTTCTCTTACAGTTGATTTTTAAAGGTTTAAATAAAACATAATTCTCTCTAGCACATCTACTTAAGGGAAAAAAAGGTGAACTTAGAAATTGGAAAGGGTATAATAGAGATTGTAATTGCTAAGAGACTATTCATTTTACACAGTTGATTATGTGTTACCCTAGTATAACCAAGGAGTCTGGGTCAGACACTGTGGGTTATTGTATTGCACTTGACTACAAAGTCGGTTTGAACCACAATGTTGGGGGTTCAAGCTCACCAGCTGCTCCTCAGAAACCCTATACAGGTTTGCTGTGGGTCAGAACCCACTCAACAACAGTATAACCATATGGCTCAAGTAGAATAAGAAATCTGTTGGCCCATATTATTGAATTATCCAGTCCAGTGATGTGGCAAGACTTGGTAAAAGAAAAAAATTAACATTGTATACAAGTGGTCAAAATGCCATATTTATATCCATAGGAAAATGACTGGATGGAAGAGCCATAAAATATTCACAATCATTGTATCTGGGTGATGGAACTTAAATGATTTTTCATCTGTATTTTCTCATTTTCTGAAGTATGTGTCAGAACTGATCTAAATTGTTTTACCCAAGTCTTAGAAGTTGTATTAAGACATTGTTTAATTTTCTGATCTTTCTTGGAGTACATGACCTTCTATGTTTTTTAGAATAACCATCCCACAGTTACTTTGATTTTGACTGTAATTCCAAGCAATATAGGCAGGTAGGACACAGTGAGCAAACAATCAATGTCAACTTCTAAAACATATATCCATTCCCTCCCTCCTTTGGATTTTGTGCTTGATTCATTAGTTTTGAATTATTTTGTAAAGTTTGCTTTTCATGTATTCGTGAAGCTGTATTTTTTTAAATAATACTTTTTTCTCATATTAACTTGTCCTCTGTTTAGGGAATATGGAAAATATAGGAAAGTATAATGAAAACATAAAAATAATTTACTAAATTATCCTAAAACATTAATAGTAGTTAGCTTTTTATTTCTATTTTATATTTATCTTTGTGGTGGTTGCTAACCTTCAAGTTGACTCGGACTCATAGTGACCCTGTATAGCATTTCCGAAAAGCAACTGATGGCTTTCAACTGCTAACCTTACAGTGCTGATCCTACAGCGCCACACCAGGAGTCCATATTTATCTTATAACATATATTTATACATACTTTATTTTGAAAATGACCATTTAAATTCTACTTTTCAAAATTTTGTGTACAGTATTAAAATATATAAGCATTTCCCGTGTTATTAAATGTTCTTAGAAAATATTTTGGGCTTCAGTAGTTTCCCTCTGTTAAGCAATTTATTAAACATTTCTTTTGACTTCTTGTTCAAACAAAAATGAAACTGCCATCGAGAAAATTTTGACCCATTGTTTTTGTTGTTGTTAATGCCCTCGAATCGGTTCCCACCCATAGTGACCCTGTATAGGGTTTCCGAGGAGCAGCTGGTGAGCTTGAACCACCAACCCTGCAGTTCAAACGGCTTTGCAGTCTGGCGCATTAACCCACAGTGCCACACCAGGACTCCTTCTGATGCATAGCAGCCCTATAGGAGGATTTCTGAGGCTGTAAATCTTTACGGGATATTCTCAACACTCACAGCAAACACTCACAGCAAAAAGAAGTTTACACAAGTTGGGAAACCATGAGTAAATAATGCAAGAGCAGTCAGTGTGGATGGAGGTCCTTCTAGACAGCTGATTTGCTGATGGAAGAGCCAAAAGGAATGATGGAACTGCTCCATCTTCAGTCATTCTAAATGCAGTCTTCACTCACACTGCAATGACCAGAGGGAAAAAAAAATCTGTACGGGAGCAGACAGCCTCTCATCTTTCTCCTCCCATGGACCGGTTGATGGATTTGAACTACCAACTTTGTGGTTAGTAGTCCAACATCCCACAGTGCCGCCAGTTACTTGTAAATTTTGCTGTTGGTAATATCACACGGATAGCTGTATCTGTACACAAGTATCTCGCCATAGTTCCATGTACCTGCTTAAGTAGATGAATGTGTGCCATATATATATATGTTGTTGTTAAGTGC